GCATGCGGCAGGACAGTCGATAGGAAGCGTCACAAAATCGATAAGATGCTACTCGTGAATGCCTAGACCTTCAGTATTCAGTATAAAAAAAATCCATTTCAATTAACGTTTTCCCGGGAATAAAATCAAAAAATCCCCAAAATCTGAAGACAAGCTTGTCTTATTTTAGCTAAGAGAAAATGACTAGATAAGTTTGTACTAAAAAAAAATCCCAAGCCGGTTGTTGAAATTGGTAAGATTTCTCCTGCTAATGGGCAAATCTAGATGCATGCAACAACAATATATACCCTATACTCGCATGACATTATTCTACGACGTAAACGAATAACTCGTCGAGCATATTTGCTGGATGTAAAAAAAATCCACTCGAGGATACTACACAAAAACCCATGAAACATATTAAATCAAACGTTTGACTGAACACTTTATGTTTTCTCGTGGTATATGACTCTGCTAAATGGAAATTTCAGGAGAAAAAAAGATGTGTATAGAAGCAAGTAAGCCCTACCTGTGTGGACTGTGCCATCTCTTCAACGATGCAGAACAATCAAGGGACAAAAGCCAAACCGTCCTAGGAATATCAAAAACAAATAGTCTGAACTGACAATGACTGAAGGAATCCCACGGTGAATATTTATGCGGTAGAAAGAAATGACAAGATGGACAAAGACGGAGGAAGAAAACAGTGCACGCCTTTACGGATGGCTTTGGGGCTTCAAAAGCGACTCCTATGTACGGTATCTACATTAGTGGAAATTATGTTAACGAGTGGTGACCATGCTTGTACTGAGAAAATGAACAAGAGAAGAATGTTAGCTTTCCTTTCAAGAAAATTTTTAAGGAACAAGAAAGAATGCAATTTGTGGGGAGATGAAATCAGTGAGTGTTAAAGTGGTAATATATAGTTTAGACGTTGAAGTGATATCAATGTTTCGAATAGAGTGAAACCCAAGGAAACAACAAATTAATTGATGAAAATACACATCTGTCAAGTTTCTTTTATATACCAATTTAAGCCTTTAAATGACATAATTATTTCTAATACATCAAACAAAAAGTAGAGCCAAGAAAAAAGTCCTAATAATTAACGTCAAATTTGTCGACTTTTTAGCTATACTGTCCTTCCATGCGTTCCCTATGGTCGTTTGAAATCATCCCGCCAGAATTTTCTTGACTTCTTTTTTCGCCCTGGCAAGGAACGGACTCAGAAACAAATGCCTTGGATCTCATTCCAACCAAAACCTTGCAAGTTGTGAGGTTCAATTAAAGACTCAATTAAATCGAAAACCTCCGGGCAATATAGGCGAAGTTTTCAGGCCAATCTCATGCTTCCGGAGGAGTGTTGACGTGCTTAGAAGCTGAACATCGATACACATTGTCAATCATTGTAGGCGCGACTGTGCACCGACATCACTATTTCGTTCCTTACTCATGTATTTCTAGATCCTTACTGAATCGAAAGGATAACAAACCCAATATGTCTCTTGTGATCCTTGAATGACACGGACGGCCAGGTTCTGTTTGCCTTGTGCAGTTTGACTCATAAAACTACACTCAAGAGCATCTGTCTAACGGAACAGTGGAACATGAACTTTGTAAATATAATTGACGCAAAAGGTATTCATACAAACCCACGCGGCAACACTCCTGAATGGACAACATTTTATTTTTAAGACAGGGCGAATGAAAGACATGACTATTCGGACACTAAGCAAGCGAGAAGCGTTCAAAAGCGAATGTGATAGCTGAACTTCTCCTAAGAGGTCGAGTTCTTTAGAAACAGAAGCGAGGCGTTTTTGCGAGGTCCAATAAAATGAGGTGTTGGTAATCTGCTGAATGTCAAAGGAACACAACCTGTACTTAACCTAGCTTCAGTCTTCCTTTGACCTTTAGCTTATAAAAAATGCTTCTTTGACAGAATACGTTATTTCGTGGCTATAGTGTTAACAGAATCCCTAGGGAGAACTATTCATCATAGTAAATAATTCTTATAAGCTTTCCTCTTCGCTTCAATAAGTTATTCATTCGGAATTATTACGTCCATAAGTAACTTCTGCAACTCTGCCAGAAGAGATACAGCACCCCAAAGTTGAAATTCAATTCATTGGTATGTGTTAAGAATTTTTTTACATACGGAAAGAAGAAAGAGTGGACCAAGTGTAGATCTGCAGTAGAGCAGTGTTGGAATTCATTGCTTCTTTATTTCCACAAATAACAAACTCAGTGGTAGAAAGAAACAATACTCCATCGTGTCTGTATAACTTCTCTAAAGGTATGACATGCCCTCTCCTCTCCCAGTTTGGCCGCAAAATAATAGGAATTGGGGATTCTATTGACTTAGCGGATGGATAAAACGTCCTTTGTAGTAGTCACTTGCATGTAACTATTGCTTTTTAGATTTATTTATTTCTTAAGTCGCGGGAAAACTGAAAAAGATAAAACCGTCGCAGAGACTCTGTTAATGCCATTGCGAGGCAAGAGGAACGTCACTCTTCATTTCACGTTGAAGTATAACTTGCGAAGTCATTTAACCCGTGGAGTGCAGGAATGCCTGGCCTAAGCCTTTTACTTATTGCTTAAGACAACAGAAGGGAATGCTAGATCAAACATAAACTACTCGCCATGTTTGGTTTGGTATCAGGGCTGATTAGCCTCGACTGTGTGCCACAAGTGTTTGCCTCCACAAGCCAAAGAGGAGAGGAGGGGAGGCACACAGGTACTCGGAATTCCGACTCTAAAGCTGACAGCTTTGAGCGTCAAATTAATATCTGGCCGCGTTGATCCATAATGGCACACGGAAGATTCTGCTTAAGTGGAGCGCACTCACGACGTCGCGGCTTGCTTTGAAGCAATTACTCCCTCAGACCTGGCCTTTCCTTTGTTTTTCAAATATGTCTCAGATTATGGACTTCACATGCGAATTCCGAACATAGTCTTGTATATTGAATTTTCCATCTCAGTAATTTAGGTCTTTATTTTCGTTGAAAAAAAAACACATGAGTTTGAATTTCACGCACCAGAAGCTAAGACCATTGGCAGAGCAAGTTTAGAAACAGAGATGACTCGGGGCTTATACTAAAATTTGAAAACGGATCATCCCCATTCTGCTTGCCAAGGACTATGCTAAAACCGGATTCTAATCAGTACAAAACACAAAGAAAAGCTTGGTACATTACATCAACAATTACCCACAGTATTTCGATGAAGGACTTAATGCAGTATGCATTCGATAGCCACGTCATTTTACAAATAAACTTGTTCCGAGACATCAGAATAAAGATTCCAACGAATATGAAATTTTAAACATTCATAACCAAAGCTATGTTGGGTACCGGTACTCTGCGAAAAGACCGCAGATGTAGTCGACCGATCCCGGCCGTATGATCTTGTGGGTGTCATGACCAATATAGATTTTTAAAGGTTAAGGCAACGTATCACTGTATGTATAGGTGGCGTTGACTAAAAGGCCTAGACCTAGACACTGAGATTCAGCTTGTGTCGTGTGAACCAGGCGTCTTAGTTCGTTCAGGCGTATCACAGATTTAAACCAATGCCCACCCAAGCATATATTTAATCACACTGATTGTCCTTTGTCTCTAGATTGGGTCGTTGTCCAAGCAGACGGTTTTTTTTGTCAAAGCCTTCGTCACCGTTGTTTTTGTTTCATTTTCGTCTGTAATAAAGCTACTTTAAATTCCTCATCTCTGCGACCAAAGGAGTGAGCTGGATCTGCGGTAAATTTACCGTATGCATCCGTTTCTGATTAATCGTTTTTCAACATATTCCATTCAAATCAATTTAGCTTCAGCTTAGTTCTAAGTCAATGGACTCGAGTCATGTAATCCAGCGAATTCATTTTATCGAATAAAATAGTAGGCCTCTATGAAAAGTTTTATCTCCCAAATGCGATAAGCTTAAGCGAGCTTTTGGTATTTTTCAGAACCCTACTCTCTCTCAATTACCTGCAGTCGGTTTCCACAGCTATAAGACAGCTAAACACAAATTTAATGAGTCAAGATAGTGAAAAAGAAGTTCAATCTTTTGTAATTGTTGAAAAACGGTATGTTTTTCAAATGGATATATCTCATTTTGAAAATACAGAACCCTGAAAGTAAACATATATAAAACTCCATTTCTGTGTAGCGGGATTTAAAGGCAACCGTGACGACGCGGCTTTCTAAAATGCGCATAGGTGAAAATACTAGTATTTGGAATAGGATAGATGTATCCAAGTATTTACGCACGCTCAGTTGAGCAGAGGCGTTCGCCTGAAGGCGAATCCTATAACACCTCCACCATTAAAGAGAGGTACGCCTGCCTTCCTATGCAGTCCCCGATCCCATCCAGACCACTTAGGAGAAACTTAAGGCGAAGTGAACAACAAGTGACTTATGCATGATTAAAGAAATTGTGTGAAGACGTCAGTTTGGCGTTAATTAATACAACAGCGCGCCCAGACAAGTCCAGTAGGGTTGCCCGCATTTCCTATCTTTCTTACAGTCGACTCTGATAATCTAAGTGAGTAGGCCTTCTTAGGTTGTTTCCAAAATTAGCACAATTTCTGGCGTTTTGGGTTGCTTCCTACAAAACAACTGCATTGCCTTCCACAATGTGGTTAGATCCTATAGGGCAAAGCTACTTTTAGGAAGTTTGTTACTTTCGATGCAGTAGCCTGCTCCACAGTCATTAGAAACCCCATCATCTTTATTAGGCCTATGTGTTTAAAATAATATTTCCTTTCATCTCTTCAAACAGTATGACACAAGAATCCATTGCCAAATCGTACAAACAAAACAAAACTTATGAGACATGGTGTAAGGACAGCTAAATGCGCCGAAAAGAACACGTGGTGTGAGGTAACCTGTGGTGTGCGCGTGACGTTGGAAATCCGGCGACCAATGAGGAGAGTGGCACAGCGCGGCAACATAGCAACGTTGCTGGTGACGCGCAGCCGTGTGCGGGGGAGTGCAAATTGATTCAATAAAAACTGTGAGCAGTGGCTAATATACCACTTACTCAAAAGTAGCCACTTGACACGCTGCATGTCACTTGGTCTCGCTCCATTTCTCGCAGCAGGGTAGTGCCAGCCAGCCCGTCTTCATCCTCTCGCCTTTCATCGGGGACAGATCTGCCGGCTTGACTGGGGTTGACTACTGGGGGTTCCCTGACTATTTTCTTTTATCATTTCGCTGTACATTTACCAAGATGAAGTTTTACCCTCTTCTTGCCGTAGCGGTCTTCGTTGTGGCAGGTCCGCTTGGGATCAGCGAAGCATATTCGCCTTTTGGCGGGTACAACCGCGCAATGCTGGGCAATGTATGGGTGCGAGCGGACAGCGCAAGTCCTTCTGCCGAAACCAATGAACAGAGAATGGTAAGTCGATCTTGCTGTTAACATGAGTTTTGAAAGAAAAAATAATCATAACAACCTTCCCTGATGCTTGAGAGTATGATCAACGTTAAACAGTGTCGGACTGGTGCTAGGTTCCTGATCGTCGATAGAATGTCATAACCAAAGAGTAAATCTTTTAGAATCCTTCTTGGAGGTTATACACGAACTGCAATTTCAACTGAAATTAGATAAAACATTATTTTCTCACACTGTATGAAAAAAAAACCTTTTACCTTGCAACTGCCTTTGTTTTATTTTATCCTCATTCAGCCGTTGTCTTAAATTCACATCTTCAAATATGATTGAGAAGATTGACGTGACTGATGAAAAGGCGGACAAATATGAAAGTAGGGAAGGGTTTTATTTCGTTGATGCTTAAAAATCTGTAATGGATTTCAACCATTTCAGTTGGGAATACAAGTCTATGGCACATCTACCAACGAAATACGTTATTTTGGGCGTGCATTTATGCGCATAAATTTCTTGCAAATGTTCAGTGTAAATGTCAGCTGTTCAGATCTCCATTGTAAAGTTGGAAAAGGCGACAATCGTCCTTAAACTTGTACTGAAATATTGACGCATGTGTTTGAGGGGGGAATATGCCCCCGCCATTAAATGAATCCATTCATTAATAAAGCTGTTTCAGGCGACAGTAGACGGTATTAGCTTACCGGACACTTCGGCTCCAACATTTGTTACCGTTAATACTAACGATAAATCAGGTCAATTTGGTGCACACAGTCTAATACCTGTATTTGGGAGCAATGTGGAGAGGGCAAACCATATACAACCAAAAAACCTACCATTAGGAAAGATTGTCCAGTAATCGTGGAAGATTTATTGGTGCGTTTGAGATTTACATTAACATCCAGAGTGCTGGGGACAACTCGTGTCTGCCCTGGATTAAGTGGCTTGAAGGGTTTAGTAGCCCCGACCCAGTAGGCATGTCTTGTATTTAACGAGTATAATGTCGTGAGGGCTGAGCTTTGTCGTTAAATTTGGTCAGGAATGGTTTGGTTTGCTTAGCCGAGGCGTCTGCGTCTTCCAGGTTGTATTCAGGCATTTTAAGAGGCATGCTTCCGTCTTGGAGTATATCACCAATGCTCATTTTCCCAGGGACATCAAGAGGTATAATTTTCCTTTTCATAGTACTGTTGTCACCTTGTAATGGTTTTCGCTCGATCATGCCACGAACAGTTGACGGAAATTGCAGAAATCTTATTGAAACGTTGAGGAATTTTTTAGGGAGGTCATGTATCAAAACAAAACTCAGTGACGATCTCCAGGAGAGGCAAGAAAGGAAATGCAATAGAAACTGTAAAAAAAGCTGGTCCAAAATACTGAGCAACAAGTTTTAACTGGAAGTGTTTAGTTTTAGTTAGGTTGAGGGGGTTATTCGATATAATTTGAAAGACGATTGAGCGAAATTGCCCAAAGTGCAAACAATTACCTTCCATATCAATACTGAGCTAAATACCTGCAAAATTTGGCAATAATTTTACACATCTATGTTTTGATGTTTTGTTGACCGAATCAATTAAGATTAAAATGTCATCACCGACCACCGATCGATCTAGTTTATTTTTGGTGCCTTCTCGGCCTATCAGACACTTTGATAATTCAAACAATATGCATGTTACATGTTAGCAAGTCTTTCAACCGAAAGCAAATTACACCATTATTTTAGATACCACTTCCTTGACAACTCTTGGTTTACGTTGAGACACGACGATCCCACGGCAGTTATCAAAGGTTGATCTGTTACGCAAACGTACATTGAATTTAGGAAACAGTTGGGTGGAGTATCCTGAAGGATGTCTAATTTGTTCCAATCCATTCATTTTCCTCAGCAAGCAGGGTAATCATTCATTCAACTATTCAAGTTGAATCTTTGTGTTTTTTATCATCTGCTTGAATGCAACTACAAAACGGGCAATAGTAAAAACTGTCGCATGGACGCGCTCGTGCGTCGACACTGCCAAGATAAATTAATCCTGTTTGTATTCCGAATTAGCTCGGAGTACAAAACGGAATATGTCTTGTTAATTCTAATTCTTCTCTAGCTCAATGCAAAAGGAGCAGAAAATTACTCACTGAAATTAGATGTATTATTTTGCCTCGACTCAAGCGTACAAACATCATCACAATGGGACGGCATCTTTGACATGGTAAGTTTGTAGCCAACCCTCATCAGTGGCTTTGGCAAAAACGAAATTGTACCATGTGATAGGCATTTGCTCACCATTCATGTCCGTGCTTATAAATATAGTTTGTGTTTAGCACCTGCAAAGTATCGAAATCACTTCCTTTTGTCGAGTGCATGTCATGTTGTGTCGAATTGAATAAGGATAACAGTCAAATTCCAATGTCGAAGAATCCCAATTTATTTGTGAGCTGAGCAACATAACCTCCAAAATTAGAGGCGCGGTTTCTGCATTAAGGCCAGTTGAAGTCAACGTGTTTCTTTAATCTATCCAGTAACAAGAATTGAATTTTGCATCTCGTTTCGCTGTATACTTGCAACATTCACCGTTTAACCAATTGCTCTTTATAAAAATAGTGTGCGATGTGAATCTGGTTGGAACCAGATGCGTGTCAAGCCTTTTGAATGAAACATTTTATTCCGTAAGGATGGGATTAGTTCAAGGTGAACTGCCCATTTAAATTTTATTGTAAAAATTCCACAAACATTCATATGTTCTTCACAGTACCCTTCTCTGATATGTTCAGTGTTTCCCACTTTAAGTTCTCTGATAGTTTCTGTCTCAGGGCACAGCTATTGGCTAGTATTTCCGAGGCAGTCAGCTTTCATTCAACACGAGGGAAATCGACTTATCTCAACGGTAGTGATGTACAAGTTCGGGGGTTAGATCGACAACTGATCTTTTCTGGTTATGGGGAGAATTGAATCTCACAGTAAGGGTTGGGGGTTGAGTACGGCGGGCGAAGCAACATGATCCTCGACCATGAAGTGACTGCCGCATCTCAATAGTCGCCGTACTACTCAGATGATGTTACGTTGTATGTTAACAGGCCAGGCTATCGTATTCCGCGGGCAAGCCAAGCCCTGAATGGCCTTGCTCAATAATTCACTCCCCTAGCCCCGCTCCGATTCAAAAGCAAACACTGCGCCGTCGGGAAATCTTCGCGACGGCTCACAAACATCTCCTCTGTCTCCTTCCTCTGTGTGACCTCCCGAAGAATAGGGATTTTGTAAAGATGACGATTGCTCTTTGTTCGTCACTTCGGTGGTCCTTGTTACAGTGCGGTCCAATTTTATTTCATTTACACTATTGATTCTTATAATATCAATTAACAATGGGACAAGTGCATGATTGCAACATCTTTTGTGGAGCAGGGCCAGAGGCAAGGAATTTAGGTTCTGGTGTTAGTATTTTATGGCTGCATAAAAATTACACAGAAGTTGATATTCCCATGGAGTGAATTTTGCAGTATGAGACAACGGCAAGACTCACGATATTTTGACTGCACCAACCTGAGCTGCATTTTTGCTTAAATTCTCTTAAATAGGAACACGAGTTTCAGCCATAACGCTTCTTGTTAAAAAGCATCACCGAACAGATGAAGGTTCGAGACACCGGTTTTTCAAAGCCCCCCTCTTTCAACATTTTGTCTTAAATGAGTCTTGGCAGCATTGGCACTTCGTGCCATTTTTAAAGTCTGTCAATATGTCATGAAGATCTCGAGACTGGCACATGATGTCTTGGCTCAGTAACAACAGACAACGTTACATTTAGTCCGCAAGTTTGCTGGGTAAAATTTGTATCAGTTTAATCGTTTACACCGTGTCCTTTCCTCGATAAAGGAGCAAACAGATGTACTGCAAAATTTGACAGGACCAAAATAAGTAATAGGCAAATCGTCAGAGAATCGAATAGTTAAGGAATCAATTTCGCTCTTCGCAATCTTCCTCCCGAAAACTTCAGTAACTATTCGAGTCCCAGAGGGTGAATGTAATGTCTCTCACACCCTGAAGCCAGAACAATTTAACAGCCAAATTAACAGAACCCTAACCCGGAATATAATTTTCAGCAGACGGAGGGGGTTTTGTGCACTGATCCCGCGAGAGTTACGGTCACGGTCTTCAAAAGATCAGCCGTGAGTATGGGTGAATTTCCCGGCTAAAATAGCGGCGAATTCCGTCGAAGTCATTAGCGACTCGTTCGCCCACCAGGCAAGCACGCACAACTTGTTCTAATCAAAGATGTCTTAATACAAACTCACTTCCTTCGTCGGATGTTTCAGCACTGAGTTATCTAACCTTCCTTTGTCGTCAAGGGACGCTTCACGTGTGGTACTGATTTAAAATTTAATTGGATACACAACTAAAATTGAACAGATTTTCGGTAATGAGCAATTTTCTGAAACCAAAGTAGATGATAGATCTAATTCTGGCACAGCCGCAGGTGCGTGATTATTTTTATCATGTAGCCTTCTGGACTTCCTGTTCCAACTCCTACAAACCTCGGCCAATCGCTTATAGGTACGATGCATCTGAGATATCAAATGCCAAACCAACTTGGAGTGTATTTGGGTATATAAATGTCACCCTTTTTAATGTGTATCTGCATGCATCTAAAGACGGTTTTGGCATTCATAACTGCTTTAAATAAGTCAGGGACTTAAAATGCCCAAAACCCCAAGAAACGGTTTCACTGAGCTCTACCAAAGGCTTTTATTATTTTGTAGTTGTGAACTGACAATAGATTTTCGTCGATCACAGTAAATGTAAATGGGTTGAAAGCCAATACATGAGAAGCCACTGTTTAACACCATCTCAACGTGGGGAGTGAATACTCCCTTAAAGTGATTTGATGTCTTTAAAGTTGGGATAGTCAGCTTCCTATTCGCGAACGAGAAGAAAACTTCTCTTCTCAACTTCAACTAAAATGTAACAAATAAATGAAATGATTCTGGTTCCCACGCAAGTCCATCGGCCACACACACAAGCTGACAGAAAC